TCTCTCTCTCTCTCTCTCTCTCTCTCTCTCTCTCTCTCTCTCTCTCTCTCTCTCTCCCCCCTCTCTTCCCCCTCTCTCCCTCTCTGTCTCGGATGGAGGGAAGACATATTTCTTTTTTTCACACCTCCCTTCTTTCTCCAATCTCTGACTCACAAATTTCTTCTAGGCCAATTGAGCGTCTAACTACATGGTAGCAGAAATTTCTCTGGCCTCATGGGTGGCTAGAGTGGGTTTTGATGTCTTTTATCCTATGTCGTTTTTCTAACATATGGATGCAGAAGTCAGTACAGATGGTATCTGGGGGTCTGGTGGATAGTTTGCTTGGCCATGTGTTTTCCTTGAGAGTAAGCAGACCCAACTTCATACTCTAGAACCCATGAAGAATTGTCGTGGTGTGGCAGCATATGCTCGAGAGGGAGGACCGAATTCCGGGGGCTTCTCCAGCAGCCTCTTTAGCCTGGTCAGTGAGTTCCAGACCAATGAGAGACCAGGTTGTGAAGGAGGTAGATGGCATGTCTGAGTCAAAGCATTCCTTCGGAGCGCCACACATGGGCACTCATATGCACACACACATTAAGGAAAAAAACAGTGGCTCTTTGGGGCAGGACTCCAGGCAGCAACCCGTGACTGGGGTAGCTTTCAGCCATTTCTCTCATGCCCCCAGTGAATGGCAGGAGGGCGGGTCCTTGGGGGAACCCTTCAATATCTGTATCTCCCACATTTCCATGTGGGCCAGTCCTTCCTGAGGCTAGAGGTTTCTCTCAGGAACAGCCTGTACACCTGTTACCTCTAATGGTGTGAGGAGAAGCTGACTAGAAACATTTGGTGACAGGAGAGTTGTTCTCCTGAGTGAAGATTCGGTGGTCACAGGTGCCTCAAGAAACAAATAGTCACAGAACTTGAAACTGCTACAAAACAGTCCATAGAACCATTGATATTTGAGGTCACTCATTATTTTATGAGGTTTATTTTTATTTGTTTAATTATGTATATCTGTTTGAGTATATGCACAGATCCATAAAAAGATATCAGATTCTCTAGAATTAGTGTTACGGGCAGTTGTGGGCTCTCTGAGGTGGGTGGTTACAGTCAGTTGTGAGCTCCCTAATGTGGGTGCTGGGAACTGGACTCTGGCCCTCTGCAAGAGCAGTGTGAGTTCTTAACCAATGAACTTCTTCAGCCCTTCTCACATTCTTAAAAATGCCATGCCTCACTTAATTATTACATTTCTGCAGCCATGTTCCTGACGACAGCAGCTTTTGCTATTGGAAAGGCAAAACCCTTTACATGGAGCTTGCACACGAGGGGGGCAAGGCCTGGTCTCCTCAGCCCAGTGGCTTGGGTCCATGTCTTGGCTTGCTGGTCAGAGTCCTGCCCATTGGGTATTTGGCCATCCAGGAAGAGTGATGAGTGATGGGAGAACCAAGTCCTAAGAGAGCTCTCTGGTGGTGCAGGTCTATCACTCGAGCTGCTGGGAGGCTGGAGCAGGAGGCTCACAAGGACCAGTCCATCCTGGGCAACTTAGTGAGACCCCATCTTCAAATAAAAAACAAATGAAAACCAGAGGTATAGCCTCCTGCCTTAACACTTGCTGAGCATACATGAAAGCCTTGGGTTCAAGCCCCAGTATTGGGGTAGGGGAGAATACCAAAGAGACTTAAAGAGATTTGTGTGTGTGTGTGTGTGTGTGTGTGTGTGTGTGTGTGTGTGTGTGTGTGTGTGTGTAGTGTATGGGTGTTGTATGTTGTGCATAAAGGTGTGTTCTCTCCTGCAGAGGCATTTGGAGGCCAGAAATTGACCTCAGATTCTCTTCCTCAATTGCTTCTGCCTCACTTTTTTTTTCTTTTTCTTTTTCTTTTTTTTAGGAAGGTCTGTCATTGAACTTGCCATGTTGGCTAGACTGGATGGCCTGCAGGTCTCGCAGGTCAGTAGGCTTATAGGTCCATAATGACCTACAGTGTGGGTGCTGGGGATCTGAACTCAGGTTGTTATGCTCACACACTTTCACCCACTGAGTCATCTGTTCAGCCCTTCTTTACCTGTTTTCCATATTCATGTACTTAGTATGGTGTGATTTTTCCTAAAGTACACTCATCCACCATGTTCCCTGGTTACACACACACACGCACACACACGAATATATGCCCCCCCCCACACACACACGAATATATGCCCATATATATATATACTCATGGAAAAAATATTTTAAAATACTGTATGTACAGAATGTATATAGACTTGTACCAAAAAATACACAGCATCTAGTATTATAAGGAATGTAGAGGTGGTTCAGATGGGAAGGCATACATAGGACCCACTTGGATACCTTTCTCCCAGAATTCTCCAAATGCCTGTGGTCTTCGGGTCCCCAGGACCTGACATCTGGGCTTCATCTTGCCTTAGTCTGGAATTTATTTCTTCCCCTCTCATTTCCAGGATTTCAGCTTTATTTTATCTTGTTCACTAGTGGAGTTATGGTTAAAGCACTAACTCTAGTTAGCTTTGAGTGTAAGGGCACATGGAAGGGGTCTCCCCTTAATCTTTGCTTATCTGAAACATTCCTTATCTTGTTATATTGGGGGAAGGGTTGGCTTGATGGAGGCACAGCTGTCTTGTATTGGCCTCAGTGTCCTGGTTAGAGATGTGATACCACCTCTAGTCTTGGCTTTTGTGACAGGCTCCCCTTCTGCCGACCAAGGAGCCTTCCTAGCTTGGGGTTTGAGATTTCAGTGCTGCCTGGGTGTTCCTGCTTTTTGAGTGGGATGTGCCGACCTCTCTAAAATATCTGCCTTTCCTGTCTCAGAAATTAAGCAGTGCTTGGATTATTTTTCCTTATGTTTTTTTTTCTCAGTTCTTTCTTACTACAATTTTTTTTTGAGTCATGGTTTCACTATACAGCTTTGGCTGGCCTGGAAGTCACTGTGTACACCAGGCTGGCTTCAAACTTACAGAGATCCACCTGTCTCTGCTTCCTAAGGGCTGGAATTAAATGCTTATGCCACCACACCCAGCCACCTTTCTAGAGTTTTAGAAGTTGAGCACATTGGGTGGAGCCCCTAAAGTTCCTTTTTTACCGCTGGTCTGTTTCTTTGACTTTTTAAGGAAAGCTGGTAAATCTTATCTTCCAAGTGGTCTACTGAAGAGCATTTGCATCTGGCTGTTGTATGTGTGACTCCTGTGCTCTCTCTTTCCTCCTCTTGCTGTGGTTTAAACTGTGTCCTGTTTTGTTTCATGAAGATTGTGTACTCTCAAAAATTGCTGATGATGAATGCTATGAAGTTTTTTCTGTTCCCTCTCCTGCTTCTGTCTTCTTGCTTCTGTCTTCTCAATGATAGATGATAGATAGATGATAGATAGATAGATGATAGATAGATAGATGATAGATGATAGATAGATGATAGGTAGATAGATAGTTGATAGGTAGATAGATGATGGATAGATGATGATAGATAGATAGATGATGGATAGATGATGATAGATAGATAGATAGATAGATAGATAGATAGATAGATAGACAATAGATAGATAGATGTTAGGTAGATAGATGATAGATAGATAGATGATAGATGATAGATAAATAGATGAAATATGACCTTGTTTATTTTTGCCCGTTGCTATGTTTGATGCCTTCTTCAAATGTTGCAGTATGTGTATACTTGTCAGTGTTTAAGAAATGGTCCTCCACTCAGTGCACAGGAGACTGATTGCCCGCATAGCTGGCCTCTCAGTAGGTATTGTCAGAATGAGCTGACTGTGTGCATGAGGCCGCTGCTCTCACAGAAGGTATTGTGAAAATGGAAACTGCCTTATTTGATGAAGATCTGAAATGGAGTCTTCACAGATTTTTCCTTTAGGACCAATCTGTTCCTTTGCGGATTTACCCTTCTTTCTGCCTGGGACATACCTATCTGAACTCCTTATTCAGGAGCATTTGGAACCAAATTTTTACACAAGGGCTTCACTTTGAGCCCAGCATCATTTGTCAGCTAAGCCCATATCCTCTCTGGCTCAAGTTCTCTTAACTGTTTGTCCTTGTAGGGATGAGGCAAGAGACTAACTGAAGGCTAGAGACGGCCGAACCATGTGTGAATGCAGACTCTCTACAGTACCTCTGATCCAGGTCCTGCCTCACCTACCTCCCAAGGGATGCTCAGGATCTGAGGACCCGTCACCTCCAAGCTCTGCAGGTGAACTGTATATACTTAGATCACAGGCTCTTCCTCTCCACTTACACCATTATTCTTTCTCCATCACTCTTCCCCCAAATGTTCTGACAGCTGCCCTATGGTGGTATTTTATTTGTACTGAAATGTGATTTTATTTGTATGTTAATAAATAAAGTTGCCCGGGGGTCAGAGCTATTAGAGCCATAGCAAAAGCTGGGCGTTGGTGGTGCATGCCTTTAATTCCAGTACTTGGTAGGCAGAGCTAGGCAGATCTCTGTGTGGTCAAGGATACAGCCAGCATTGGAGACACATGCCTTTAATCTCAATACCATAGAAGACCTGGAGGGCTGTACATACAGGCAGTGACAAAGCAGTCATGTGTTTGGGTTTACAACCAATAAGAAGGCAGAACAGACAGTCTCCATAAAGACAAACAGACAGGAAGTAGCTCTCTTTTGGAGAAGTCTCTTGGCTTAAGAGGCTAGCTGCAGCAGGCGGGTAAGGCTCTTGACTCTGATCTCTTGGCTTCTGTGCATTGGTTCTCTGTTTCTTATTTAATAAGATGGTTGGTTACATCTACACTGCCCGCTGATGTTAACCTCTCTGGTGTATGCATTTATAACTATTTAATTTCTCTATTGTCATTTCAGGAAGGTTTTAGATGGGAGACAAGACGAATATGTATACTCAGTCTAACACATTTAAGCAAAATGTTATTCTTTTTATATGACTGTCAGAAGTGGCTGTGTGGTAAGTGTGTGTGTGTGTGTGTGTGTGTGTGTGTGTGTGTGTGTGTGTGTGTGTGAGAGAGAGAGAGAGAGAGAGAGAGAGAGAACCAAAGCACAGAAAACACTATAGGGTTTAGTTAGGGCTTTATTACTGTGAAGAGACACCATGACCACAGCAACTTGTACAAAGGAAAACATTTAATTTCTGGATGGCTTACAGTTCAGAGGTTTAGTCCATTATCATCATGGTGGCATGCAGGTGCTGGAGACATGGGGCTGGAGAGGTACATAAGAGTTCTACGTCTGGAGCCACAGGAAGCAGGAAGAGAATGAGTCTCACTATGTGTGGCTTGAGCTTCTGAGACTTCAAAGCCCACCCTCAGTGACACGCTTCCTCCAACAAGGCCACACCTCCTGATAGTGCCACTCTCTATGAACCTATGGGGCCATTTTCATTCAAACTACCACATGGTTCATATTTAGTTATAGTAACTAAAACTTCATAAGCTTCTGATTCACCATGCAGGGAGCAGCCATTTGAATCTTTGACTTCTGTGAATCCTTCATGTGCTGGGCTCCAGTGAGGCCGGGTTAAGAGCCCTGAGAGAATTGTCTCCCCTCGAGCAGCTGCTGCAACATCAGGGCCTGGGAGGCCAGCTTCTGGGAAGGCTTTGCATAATTAATTGAGGTCTGGAGCTGGCCTCCTCCTGTCTCTCTGCGATATTCATATGCACTCCAAACTGCTGGTGATGTTCTCAAAGGAAGGAACTGAAGAGAAAAAGATTCTGTTACCTAGAAACCTCGTCGCACAGGACCAGCCTCGGCAGGCCCTCCTGCCCTTATCTACCAGATATGATTTGAGGAGTCTGTGAATAGACAATATTTCTGAAGTTTTCAAGACTGCCCTGAAGAGAATAGAAGTGATACTTGTTAAAAGAAGGTGATTGGAAAATACAAATAATACAGCAAAGTATCAGGCAAGTGAAAAACTACCAGACACACTAGAATAACTGAGCTGTGGAATCAGCCCAGGATAGAGAAGAAAAGCTCACAAAAATGAGGTACATAAACACAATGGAATATTATTCAGCACCAAAGAAAAACTAAATCACACAATTTCAGTAAAATGAATGTGGCTGAAAGACAATGTTGAGTAAAGTTAAGTCTTACATGGAAGGACAAGTACCACATGCTTCTCTCACATGGGGTAGCCAAAGCAGTCAGCTTGGAGGTAGAGTAGTGAATGCTGATGAGATCGGGAAGTGGAGGAGCAGAAGAAGACAGGATGGTGTTGATCAGGACTCGCTGCCTGCATGTGTGGAAATACCACACTGAGCCGCATTAGTGTGTGTGCATGTGTGTGTGTGCAACACATGTTAATTAAACATTTAAAGTGCCATATAAAAATATCGTAAGAAGAAAATGACTATATCACCCCATTTAAATAGAAATCACCAGACCTCCAAACTACCGCAGACCGGACCCCTTTCTCTGTTTAACTTGAGTGGAATCACCTTGCTTGCTTTTAGTTGGATTTCAAAGACTAATTAAGGATGCATCTGGCATTGACTTGTAACCACCATACACTCTTGTAACTGCTGTACTATTAACCATCATTGTTGCATTATGGGAAACACAGTGACATCAGAGCATCAGGGTAAAGACTTCTGTATTGGTTCAGGCAAAATGTGGCAGGAATCCAGATGCTCCTGGAGACACAAGGGTACCTGTTGCTGGGTCCCCAAGTTTCTAGCTCCTAGTGCCTCAGCATGTGACACTCATGGAAGGGAGGTCTTTAAAGGAGAAATTGTGTCAGTGAGGTCACATGGGTGTGGACTTCATGCAATCTCTGCCCATAAGAGGAGGAAATTTAGACACATTCTGAAATGCCAGGGCTGCACACGCAGGAGGCATGTAAAGGCATGGGAGGGAGGCAGCCATCTGCAAATCAGACACAGAGAGAGGCCACAGAGGAGACCAGATCTGCTGACACCTTGGACTGTATTTTAGCATTTCAGCTCTGATAGAGAATGAATTTCTATAGTTTAAACTATGCAGTGTATGATATTTTGTTATAGCATCCTGGGCAAATGAATGCACTTGTTTTTTTTATCTACATTTGATTTTTAAACTGCACATTAAAAGCCTATATAAACAATATGGATAAGACACTTCTTAACCCAGCTTTGGCTAACAGTTGCAAATGCGAACATTAGACCCTTGCTGAGAACCTTAACCACAAGTGGCATTGTTTGGCAGTCACTGCGATCAGGTGATCTGAAGCATTGACTTGATCTCATCTTGGGCTTCCAGGTGGAGCTCAGAGCCCCATGCTCTCCTGTGAGGGTTCCTCTACCTCAAGGAAGCCTTGCCCGACATGGAAGGTCTTAGAGAGGAAGAGGAAACTGGAAAAGAGGAAGAGAGGAGGAGTGGGGGGCACTTCTGGTGGGCAGTGTACTTGAGAGTCCATTTCCCCATTTATCATCATCCTGGACAGAAGCAACCTTGGGGGAAGATGCTGCAGTGGACATCTTGAGAAACTGCCTCTCTCAGGAAAGGTCCTTCACTGGCTGAGCCTCCTGGGAAGGCATCTGAGTGGCTGACCTTGATAACCAGGCTGAGAAAGAAAAACAGTAGTTTATTCATTTAGCTATATGCTAAAAACGCTTGTTTTCAGGTCACTGACTGGGCTGAGGAAACACTTGCATATTGGTTTGTCTGCAGCCCCGACCTGGAGTTTGCCAGTTATCACAACACACTAGAGACAACCAAGAAAGCCAGAGGATGTTCAGATCGTCACCGTGGGGTGTCCTGCTGTCTGTTGGCACTTATGCTAACCCAAGCCTCAGATCCAGTCAGTGAGTGATAAAGAATGAAAATGAGATTTGGGAAGTGCTTGCTTTATGTGTGGAAGGACCTGAATTCCATCCCTAGTGCCTGTGCAGAAAACGAGGCGTGGCGGTCGCACAGTTTTATTCTCTGCAAAATGCTGAGGCAGGAGGCAAGAACAGGTGGGCCCCTGAAACTTTCTGGCAGCTCGTCTAGCCTACTGTAAGTTCCAGGCCCAGAGGAGACCTTGTCTCAAACAAAAGGTGTCTTCTGGCCTCCACATGTATACACATGTGTACAAGTATACCTTGCACCCACATGTGTGCCCGTACACACATAGTCTGTCAAACACAGAATGAAACTGAAGGAGAGTTACAGACTTAGACTGAAAAGAGAAAAGATATACTAACACACACATGCACACACACTCACATATGTACATGCACACACATTCACATATGTACATGCACACACATGTGTACACACATGTGCAACGCACTTACACATGTGCACACATATACACACATGTACATGCACACATACATGCACAGACACAGACAGACAGACAGACAGACAGACAGACAGACACACACACACACACACACACACACACACACACACACACAGACGAGCTGTGGGTATGAGAGAAAGCAAGAACCAGTAGGGCAAAGGAGATGGTCACAAGGGTCGCCCCAGGAGAGCTTGGGTCCTGTGGGATTGTCATCCATGGCGCTTTGGGTTTTCCCTCACCTCTTCTGGTTCTGTTTAAACCCAGAGGCTGTGTCAGACCTTTAGGAAGCCCAGCATGCTTGCAAATGTGATATGCTTTCTAATGGGTATTCATGGATTCACTGAAATGGAACAAAAAGTAATGGGGACAAGTTGCTATTTTCATGTTTGATTTAACTAGCAGGTTATGCCTGAGACTTGCTGAGCTGTGAGCTGGAGGCTTCATCCAGGTGGAAGAGTCAATGCAAGAGCGGGCTGGAGGCCACACTGGAGCGGGCGATGCTGGTTCTTTTGGATGAGTCTTTCCTGCAAGCATGAGGCTGCTTCTCTGGTGCTTGTTAAATACTGTATTTATGCCATGTGTTTGTATACAGTGGGATTAGGGGACCAAACCGAATCACTGCTGATAGTTGCTTGAAGGGATGTTTGACTAGGAGATTTACACAGTGTTCTTAATAATCTTTTTTATTTATTTATAGAATGTTATCATTCCAAACATACAGAGCTACCATCCCCAAGGAGAGACGCCTTCTATTTGAGGATCACCAGCTCTGCATGTTGATTTTCAAAGAGATAAAAAGAGCATCTGGCCACCACAGTGCAGGCTGCAGTCCCCTCCCTCTTCATTATGCGGAGAGTGGATGAGATTTTTGCTTCATTCCTATTTATACAAATAAAGACAACAATCTGGGAGATAAGTCACGCTGGCATGGAGCACCACCGATCTTGCTGGGTTGAAATGTACACGTTCCATTAACAACAATTATAGTGTATAATTAAGATTTGGGTTCCCAAGTGGGACTCGGGAGCTTTCTCAAATAGTGATGGGTTTAGGGGAGATATGTTAAAATGAATATATGCCTTCCATCATCTTCCCAATAGTCCCCCCACTCTTGCCCATCTCCCCAAATCACCACCAGTGCCAGTGTCCAGGATGGTCTACACAGAATGTAGTGTTCAAGTGCCCCCTAGTGTAGCCAGGCATGTGGTTGCTATGATAACAGACGTGACTTTAGAAGACGCTGGCAAGCAAAGCTATCTGTGTTCCCATGCATTTATGGAGTTCCTATGCAATGGGGTCCATGTAGCAGAATGGGGTTCAGATTAAGATGATTTCAAATGGCCTCTCCTGGATAAGGCTGTCTGTGGAAGAAGGCTTTTGTAGACCTCCACCTTTAGATTTAGATGGAAATTTCCTGAGGCATTTGTAATCTTGGTGTGTGCACACACGTATGTAGTAAATAAGCACAGAGAAAGGGCTAATGACGCTGAAGCCCTCTCACCTGGGAGGGGTCTGGACACCACCTCTCTTCCTGCAGATTGCTTCATCTTCTAAAGCAGTGATTATCAACCTGTGGGGCTTGACCTCTTGCGGGGGGGGGGGTGGGTGGTGGTGTCAAATGACCCTTTCACAGGGGTCGCCTGAAATAATCGGGAAACACAGATATTTGCATTTGCAATTCGTCATACTTGCAAAATTGCAGTTATGAAGCAGCAGCAAAAATAATTTTGCAGTTGGGGTCACCACAGCCTGAGGAACTGTATTAAAGGGGTTTGGTGTTAGGAAGGCTGAGAACCGCTGCTCTGAAGAGAACTCTGACTTGTCTTGCATCAGTGAGTGCTGTTGTGGCATAGTACCTTTCTAAGAGCAATTACCACAGTGACAGGGTTTGTGAAGTCTAGACTGTGATGGTTTTCCCTAATATGAGGCATTTTCCTTTGGTGACCAAGTGGCTACCAATAACAGTTTCACCAGCCAAATCCCAAATTTCTAACTGTATTTCAGAAACAGAGGAACAACCCCACCTCCCCAAAGAATCCTATAGCAGGTCCACATGACCAGGGGAATAATTGTTGGTTCAAAAATTTCAGGGCTGAGACAGGCCGGGTAGAGATGAGGGGGCACATTTGTGTCACCTGTGCCGGAGTGGGGCATATCCTCTGGTGTTCTTTGGTAGGCATCTATGGTTATAGCAAGGATGGGTTAAGGAAGCTGATTCTTGTTACTCTGTGAGTACGCATTTTCCCAGGAAGGCTGGGATGGGAGGTTGCACTAGATTGCTGCTCTATCTGGACAGTTGAGGCACATTGATGTGCTTTCATGCTGAAGATCCAGATGGAGTAGATATTTCCTACAAGAGTGTATTACTTTAAAGAGTTAGGTCTGCAGATAGCACATGATACTGGAGTTGCTACTTTTCAGAATCCCTGGGGGAAAAATGGCTCTGGAAAGAACAGTCTGTTGATGACTTGAGTGGATTTCTTTGATACCTAGAAGCACAAGTGTGGTGTGTGGTAAAAAGAAGACAACAAAAGAGACTGAACAGGTATAAACAAACTCCTGAATTCTGATATGAGTGGTAGGTCATGATGGAGTAATTTTGTCGAAGTCCTGGCATGGAAATTATTGATGACTTATCTCAAATCAGCCATCCTCTTCCCTCTTCCTGTAGAAAACTTAATTTGTTGCAAATATGGATTCCAGGTGGATAACTAGTACCTTTCTCTAGTTGGAATGGTCATAAGTATTTCTTTGAAATACGTAGAGAAGCGTAGAAGAATGTCTCCATCTTGCTGGAGGCTACATTTGTGTGTGCCTTGCTGCAGTTGCTGCAGCCGACTGCCACGATAGGAGAGGGCTTACCCAGGGATGAGAACGAGAGACTCCAAGTCAGCCAGTCAGGAGCTGGCCACTTCAGATCTCTGATCCATCTGAGCACATCATATACATGTATGCGCATGCAGATGATGTAACACACTTTCCTCAATCTTCAGCTACTTCCGGTCAGATTTTCTGTTGCTCTCAGATGAAAACAACAAGAATAGCACCACTCCTCTTTAGAACAGTGCACCACAATGATGCGCTTGAACAATCAGCACTCCAGAGCACAGGTACTGATGAAGCAAAGAGAGAAAATTTGGTGGTCTTCAAGACTTAGTTCTGACAAGTGCTCCAATGCCTCTGTTCTTCTCTAACTGGAGACACTAGGATAACAAAGTCTATGAAAATATAGTAAATATTTTGTTCTTTGACAATTTCATATATATAAATAGTATATCTTAATTGTCTCTACCTCAACACCCTCCACTCCTTCAGGCACCTATAACATACCTCCTGAGTCCAAACAGTGCTGCTTCTGGGGATGTTAACTGATACTGTAGGCTTGTTCTTGAGCAGGTAGCCACAGCTGCATTGAGGTCATAAGAGCAGTGGCTGTGCCGTGTCCAGAAGACACCTTTCACAGCGTCCTCCCCATCCCCAGCTCTTACCAATTTTCCTTGATGTTCCCTAAGCTGTGTGTGTGTGTGTGGGGGGGGGGAGTTGACATAAATGTCCCATTTAGGGGAGAGCATTCAGTAGTCACTTATTTTCAGCACCGTGACCAGTTATGAGTCTGCACTAACTGCATGATCTCTGTAGAGAGAAGTTTTTCCAGCCATGGTTGAGGACAGCACTAACCTATAGGTATGAACATAAATATTTAGAAGTCAGTTTGACAACATTTCCCCTTTAGGGCCTATGACCTTCCAAGCCATGGGATTTTGACCATGTTTACAGTATCAGCCATGATTTCCCTCCTGAGTAGCAACCCTTACGTCCAATACAAAAGCATCTGGTCCCCCCTGTCACCTTTGTGTCACCATCACACCAGCGAGAACACCTCATCGGTTTGGTTTTGTAACTATGCAAAGTTCATTGCTGGATAATTCCATTGGATTTTTTCCCCCAGTGAACTTTCCCCTCCATAGCATCTTCTGGAACTCTGAAAGCTAGCCAGCAGGGTCAGAGAGGTTTTTAAAGATGATTTCTCCATAACCTGCATCTAAAGTGTTGTTTTCAGCAGTAGGAGCTTAACATCTAGTTCTGGTAGGTAACTAAGAGCAATTGCAAACGTTTGTGTTGTTTTGGATGCCTCTGGGACATCCCTGACTAATAACCCATAGGAAGCCCCCATCTATCTTATTGTTATTGTTTTTTCTTTTTAGCTAAGCTGGTCTTGAACTCATTATATATCCTAGGCTGGCCTTGAACTAATAATCCTCCTGCCTCAGCCTCTCAAACACTGAAATTACAGTCATATGCCACCATTCCTAGCTGTGTTTTTTTCAACAATGGTAGACTTTGGTAAATGAGGAAAAAAATACTGTAATCTATAAATATTTATATAAATAGAGTTTATTAGTATAATAAAGTATAATTTAGGAAAGGTTAATTAGATATGTTTTTAATATTGGCATATTGGTTGCAAGTAATAAGCAGTTCACAAAAACATAATTATTCACAGATTTTCCAAGTCCAACAATTTTAAACAGCCCATGTGTTGTGAGGGTGCTGTGTATGGAGTGTCAGTGGGGAAGCCATGTCTGGCCATAGGATATCATACACTCCACCCTGTGTCCAGCACTGTGAGCCTGTGTGTGACGGGGCAGAGGGAACCAGAGCTCAGAGAATTGAATGTGAAATGACCTTCACAGGCTCACATGTTTGAATACTTGGTTCCCAGCTGGTGGTGCAGTGTGGGGAAGTTGTGGAACCTTTAGGAGGTGGAGTCTCATTGAATAAAACAGGTCATTTGAAGCCTTGGAGCTTTATAGCCCTGCTGCTTCCTGTTTACTCTCTGCTTCCTGAGTGGATTCAGTCCCTGGCCTGCTCCTGTGACCATGCCTTCCCTGCTGTGATAGACTGTCTCCCTTTGGAGCCGAAGCCAAAGCTTTTCTCTCTTCAGTTCCTTTTGTCAGTGTGCTTAGTCACAGCACAGGCAAGGAAACTGAGACACCTGCTCTAGATGGCTGTGGCAGTGTGCTCCTCTTTTCCTCTCAGCCATCACCTTTGACCTTCAACTTCAGGGAAAGAGGGGCAGGGTAAACTTAGTGTCTTTGCTGATCCCTGCCATCCTGACACTTGGAGAGTTCTAACATCATTCTGTGATCACAGACAGTACATGGAAGAATATTCTGAGGGAAGCAAATTTTCCAAGAGCTCTTGAAGTGATTGTCTTGAAATGCATTCCCAAGAATTGAACTGGGATACTTTCTCATGTCATTCTTGGACACTTGGAAGAAGAGGTTGGAGTCAGGAGACATCTCACATGGAGAATGTGACACTTCGCTGAGAAAGAATAGGGTTGAGAAATAGACAGTCCTACCTTTAAATGCCTGGTTGTGTGACCATGACCTGAATAATTGAAATCTGATGACAAGGTTGTGTGTGATCTTCAAGGATGGTGTCTGAGGAGGAACTCAGCACAGTGTTTGGTTCAAAGTCAGCATCCAGTAACTGCCAGAGAAGAAGCCAAGGGCATGCTTCAAAGAACATCATGGGAGCCCAGCTGGGAGACCAGCTCCTACATTTTATGACAAAGTACTCTTGAGGAGAGAGGGATAAGAGATATTAGAAGGATAGAGAGGAGAGAAACAGATAGAAACACAGGATAGCCTTGAGAGGGCCTGGATCATTATCCACCAGCCCCTCCTGTCTCTTCTAAAGGGCTATTTATAGGAATGCCAAGGGATGGAGCAAAAGACCTCCCCCTAGGTCAACTAAGTGTAGACCTTCCAATCACTTTGAAACCATGTATGTTGTCAAGCAATCCTCTAATGCAGTCCGGCTGCATGAAGCAAGCTCAAATCTCACTATAAAACCTTTGTGGGCCTCCACAACTCCCCCTTCTTGATATAATAAAGGGAACCCAGGTCCCTCAGATAGACTGTGCCTGTCTTAGGTCATTATTCTTGATTAATTTTGCATGCATACATACATTCAGGAAGTTATCAAGAAAAAAGTTGCCAGTCTTTGTCTACCAGCCTCTGGCAAGAGTGGTTATAGAGCTCTGACCAAAGTCCCTACTAAGAGCTTGCAGACATCCATAGTGATCTCCATAGCTGCCACACCTCCCAGTAAAGGAGTAGAGGATAACAAAGATGGAATATCCTTTTTGGAATGGGTTTAAGATGACTAGAGCAGTCTCAACTGTAATAAGCCCTTTTCCTGGATCAAAACTCTCTCCTAACAGATGTTCAAAAAATTTTTTTAAGAGACTGCTTTAATTCTCAGGAGAAAACAATCATTTTAAATCACTTTAAACTATCCACTCAAGTGAACAAAACCCCATGCTAATTATAAAGACACTATTAGCTGTTTAAGTGCCTCACATATGTGTGTTCCTACCACAGCAGTAGAATTTCTGTACAAACTAAATTGATTGTGGGAGGCCTACCCCTTTCTGAATAGAAACAGAAAAAGAATGGAAACTTCTAGGAAGAAGACAGAAAAGCTCCTCTTATTATGACACCTTCACTTAAGTTTTCCAGGGGCCACTGAAACCATAAAATTGTATTTTGAGCTATCATAAAAAGTGTTCAAATATATCTGAAGGTAAAAGAATAATAAAAATAATTCTAGTATATACATCACTATACACTTTTTACAATCTTACATTCAACATTTACAATTTTTACAAACTTACATTCAACATTTACATTTTTTACTTTCAATATTTACACTTTTTACAAACATATTCAAAAGGAAATTCTATGGAACTATTTTACAAACCTATCTAGAAGAGTCTCTTAACAGAAATGACTTACATTCAAAAGCAAATTCTATAGGACTACTTTACAAACTTTAACACACATCTAGAAGAGATTTCTTAACTGAACTATTATATTTTCTTTCAGCAAGATAGAAAGTACACAAATCATTAGTTACCATAGTAGAAATTGTAGGTGAACTCAACACTGCTTTATTTCTGAAAGTTTGGAGTTCATGGTCAGCTTTGATACCATTCTGAATGTTTTCCTGACAGTTTGGAGTCAGAGCCTCTCTGTTCCACACATTGTACCGAATGCTAAGACAGCCATCAAGCTTCTGAGGGTACAATTTCCCCCTTCTTAATTTTTTTAAGCTGCATTTTAAGACTGCTATGAGTTCTTTCAATGATGCCTTGTCTTTGATAGATTTTTATTAGCTCAATGTTTCTGACAAGGTTATTTGTTCACAACAATTGCTATTGTTCAAAGGAGTCAAGAGCATAGCTGTGTTGTTTTATTTATCATGAAACACATTAGCTCACTCTGAGGAAGAACATTTTCATGGTTTAGTATTTTCACTTCACTTACCAGCTTCTCAATCCCTGATGCCAGTGTTTTCTTTTTTTGCATTTCAAGCACAGCCAAAGCTTTTTATTTGCCCGTAAACTTTTTCCATACCTAAATGCAATTTCCCAGTGTATGGACCACTTTCCCTTGTTTTCTAAAGGGTTTCAAAGTGACTTGTTGACAAACAGTATTAGCATTTAATTGCCTCCTGACAGGCAAGCTGTTTGCCTAGTTCTAGTTCTCAAGAGGCAAGCTAACAAAGCTTGTGGAAAAAACTAGCATTTTGAGCTGAAAGCAACAACAACAACAACAGAGTTTGGGGGCAGTGCAGTACCGGTACCTCTTTTACAGAATACATTTCCCAAGCTGCCTTTCTCTATATTGCCATGCTGCTATGAACAAACTACATTTCCCATGCTGCCTTTCTGGGTCTGGGAGAAAACTTCTGTTCACAAGGTCTGTGTTCTATCAAGTATTTGCTTTTACCACAGGAAGTTTTTGAGTCAAGATTTTGCTCTTTTACCATGGGAGATTTATGTTCTCCCTGATAAGTGTATTTCCTTCACCTGACACATTTCAAAAGAGTGGACTGCATCCATCCACACGCGTGTGCATTTGGATAGGCGCTTTGGTGCCAGAAGCAAAAACCCCTCAGGGCTTGCTCCCCTGATTTACTGGATCAGTAAAAGAAGTGAAAGTACTTGAAATAAAAGCCTTTTCAGAGAGCTTTTTTCCATGATAAATCTCCTGCTTGTCCCTTCTCCCAAGATGCAGAGTCTCTGATGCCTTAACCAAGGCTCAGTTTCTCTGCTAACTGCTTTCTGTTCTGGGGATAGGGGCTTGAGTCCCTGATCTAGGAACTTAGACCCTGCCTCCCTCATTGCAGGGAGGATTTCAAAGCCTCCATTGCTGCCTTCACACCAGCAGTCCCTTCCCAGGTCCCACCCCGCCTCTATTGTGGCTCCACCCTGGGGAAGCTGTCCCTACTGGGCTTTCCACCTGCACTTTATCTGGCATAGGCTCTGGCCACAGGGGATTCTGGCTGCTGTTTTTCTAATACTGTCTTGAAGGAGAGATAGGACTAGCAGAGAGGATTTGCCATATTCCAAGAGGTTTTTTGTTTGTTTTTTCTAGGGCCATTACAGGTGATTTTCTCGTTCTGATAGATTTTTCAGGTGAGTTTAATTTTGCGCTTTCAGGAAGAAAAAAATCTGAGAAGGAAAGTCCTGAAGAGCTTCCAGTCTTTTAGAGAGAGATTGCTAAGTTTTTCACAAGAAAGCTTTCAGTTTTTGAGAGAAAGACTACTAAGTTTTTCCCAAGACTTCTGTTCCCTAAGCTTGGCTTCAGGGCCAAGGAAACTAGTCCTGATGGTACAATGTTATCATACAGTAACAATGTCAGCAGATTGAAGAGTTTTATTTCATCCACATCTATCTCAGGGAAAATTCTTTCCTCTACCACTCAGGATATAAATCTAAGCTGTTCACAGGTCAAAAGCTTCCCCAGGAATCTTTTTCTGCCCATTTTTCTCATCTTTGATAGATTTTTCTCTGATTCTTCTCTAGGAGTTTGTGTTCATAGTCCCAGAGTTGGAAAATCAAGGACATAGTTCTGTTTTGTTGCTTATCTTGTCCTAAGTTTTTTCTACACTATTCCTACATTCTCCCTTGTATTTTTTCTTAATTTTTATAGATAGAAATTGAGAGAGAAAAAGAAAGAAACCTAGACAGAAAGAAATTCACTGCAGCCTCGCTCACTTTTAATTTCAACATTCAGCCACTTTACTTTCATTCCAGAGAATAAAATACCATCACCTTTATATTTTAATTCCTTATTGGGCATGCCCCCTTACAACTGCGAGGCCCCCCTCTCTCCTTTCACCAATTCCCCATCCCTGTTCCTGGTGCCATTTGTGGGAGCCTAGCTGGAAGATTGGCTCCCACATTTTGTGACAGAGTACTCTTGAGCAGTGAGGGATAAGAGATATTAGATAGAAGGATAGAGGGAAGAGAAACAGATAGAAACACAGGATAGCCTCGGGTGGCCTGGATCCTTATCCACTGGCCCCTTCTGTCTCTTCTAAGGGGCTATTTATAGGAATGTCAAGGGGTGGAGCAAAAGACCTCCCCCAGCTCAGCCAAGTGTAGACCTTTCCAATCACCTTGTAACCATGCACATTGTCAATCAATCCTCTAATGCAGCCCTACTGGGTGAAGGGATCTCAGATCTCACTAGGAAACCTTTGTGAGCCTCCACAGAGCATAATCCCTGAAGAACCGAGAATGACATGAAAGTTATTCTTGAAAGGAGTCATAGAGTGAGGAAAAGCTATGCTCTGATAAAACACAATCTAAATCCTGCTAGATAACAAAATGAATTAGAAGAGCAAGGCCGGGAATCTAACCACCATTAGGAATGGATGAACTTTTACACCTGTGTGTGTACCCTGAATTGGGATGCTTCCTTGATCATTGTTGGGAAGATGGCTTTCTGAACCCAAGTTCGGATTTCATGGCAATATCATGGAAGTGTTACTGTGCCTTCACCTTTTGCTGTCCCAGTTGGACCATGAGCTCTACACTGAGAATCTCTCAATTGGAAAGCACCTGTTCAGTGTTAAACCGAAGGCCTTTCCAGATAGTAATACAGAAGGAAGATGGGCCCCTGCCCTTTTTCAGTTTTCTCTCTGACAGCTTTGTGGAATTGTGTGTATTGATCTATGTAGTTAGTTCCCTAGCACTGACAAAGTTCTCTTTTTGGTTCTTTCTGCTCTCATATTAGATCATTTTAGGAAAACAAGGTGCTTTAGATGAATAGCTCAAGCTGTATTTGTGGTTGCCTTATTCTTACAGAACTCATGTCCCAACATGTCAAGTGTCACTTGAGAGAGAAGATGAAACTGCCTGTGAGATGGTGTTGAGACTCACCCTGAAGCCACAGGAGGTGACAAAGAGTGACACTCCTATATGTGAGTCAATTATGATTTGCATCCGTATGTGTGAGGTGTAGCAAGAACATTCTGGCATTCTTTTTGCTCCTATGATGGCTTTTCAATAAAACAGGTCTTTCCTAGTTGAGTGTTTAGAAGTGTCTAATTTATCAGAGATATAAATTTATTTATTTATGGATGAGATTTCACTATGTAGTGCAAGCTGGCTTTGAATACATAGTCCCACAATCCTTCTGCCTCAGCCCTGGAGTGCTTGAATTGCAGGCGTGTATAGATCACCATACTAGGCAAGGAAGAGACTTTGATTAAAACAACATAACAGGTGAGGCCAAGCAGAACTTGGCCTCTGAGGCAGACTACTGAGTCACATAGCTTCCCATTTGGTTTTGTACTGCTACTCCTTGAACTTCCTCATTGCTTCACTGATTTTAGACTTCTGAAATTGAACCGCATATTTCCAAGTACAGTAGGTAGTATTAGGAGGAAACACTTCATATGTAAAATTTTGAATTCAATGAACACAGTTACATTTTGCAGGCAATCCCTATGACTGCCAGTTGCTCTTTTTGCTGTTCACCCACATGAACAGAACGTTGGGTAAACTCATCCTGTGATGACTTTCCATGACATCTCCCACAGCACAGCTGTGGGTGGTAGGCTGTAGCTGCTCCAGGTCAAAGAGGTGCCACCTGGAGGTGCCCAAGTTGCCTCTCCTATAATTATTTCTGCTCTGAAGGTGTTTTGACACCATTTTTGATTTTGGGAAAAACTTCCAGGTATCTTTCACGTGATTAAGGGTGTTTGAAGAGGGTGCACCCAGTCACAACAGACTGAGGGGAAGAGGCGGGCGACAGTATTTTCTAGACTGGCATTTACTTGCTGCCCAAGTTGTCATTGTTTTTGGTTTTCTGTGAAGGCAATCACTCTACCGGTGTTAAATACTGAACTGTAACTGTAGTGCTATTTGCTGAGTTTTGTTCCCATTGGCACAAATAGTTGCAAATACTCATAATCTTTCATTTAGATGTTTACCTAAATATTTATAATTACATATTCTAATAATGTGCTTAATGTTTCTGAAGAAAAACTAATGCCATAGGATTCTGAAAATACTTACTTCTAGCTTGGTTCTCCAGGAATGAAAATAAAATTTAATGACTGAAGACACTATTCTGTCTTTTGGTGAATATTTATGGTGTCCCAGTCCCATTATATTTCATGTACTATGCTGTGCAGATAAAATAGGAGAATGGGTAAGGCATGGGCAACCATTAAGGCACTCACAATCCTTTGGATCCTCATTCTACACATTCCTTGCCTATTAGAGACCACCCTTCCCTGTGTGTTTCCTCTATCTCTAGGTAAGAACTGCTGTCTCCCAGCTCTTCCCTCTCCCCAATCTCTCTGGGCAGTCACACTGGTGTTCAAGTCATGCCTTTCATGTAAAAGAGGCCTTTCCTAAATCTACTTCCAACTCGAAACTCTCCCAGTGGCAGCATCTGAAAAATATACCAGCTAAATGGTTGGCCTCTCGCCTGGATGCTCACTCGTACCAATAGGCTCAATCTGCTCTTCCCTCTCCCACTCAAAGCTGGAATTGTCCTTGTGAGCTTAACTCACTTGACGTCAACACCATCTGCCCAGACAAGTAGGATTACAGCCAACACGTTTCCTTCTTCTCTCTACACATCACCTTGAACTGGATCAACACATCTTAATTTGGTCTCCTAAATCTAGTTTTTGAATTTTGTTCTCTCTCTCTTGTTATTCTTGCTGCCTACACTCTGTGTATTTAAATAGTGTCTCCAGTGTGAATTTCTTGAGAGCATATTGAAGAAGTGGGCAAGTGATATATCCATGCATGCATTCACTCACCACTTAAACTCTACAAAACTTACCAAGACAAGATTTAATCACCCCAGAAAGAGGTGTGCTAATCCTTCTTTGAAAATTAAGTTTGACCTGGAAACAGCCCCTTTCTTTATCATCTAGATTAATTCATCAAGTACTGCATAGCTCTCAAGCCATAGAATCTTCAGATTGGACATTTAGTTGTTATCTAGCTGAAATGCAAAGATTAAATGATGAGTCTCATCAACAGAGCTAACCTCCCCCTAAACTGCTCCCTAAATGCTTAAAGTTGGGATTTAAAGGATTTGCATAGACATAATTTATCAGACCTTTCTAGAAACAACTGTAGAAATTCCAAACTATCGTAAGGTCTTAGCAACAATATCTCTGATAATTTTGGTAGAATTTTTACTTGTGAACTAATCATGTGAAATATTTTTAACTTATAAAAGGAGTTCTTATTAAATTAAATATTTATGAACATATCTAGTGTCCCACTTTCAAGTAGCTTTAATGAAATGAGTAAAGATAAGCAGGATAGGAACAGTCTTGAAAATTAACAAGAAAAAAATCGTTGCAAAAAGAACATATTTCTTTTATATTTGTGTGTATATGTTGTATGATGTGTATATATGGTTTTTTTGTGCATGCTTGTACATAAGAGTATGGTGTGTGCATTCCTTGGTGCACCTGTGGAAGCTGAGGATTGCCTCAGGTTGGTCTTCACCTCCACTCTGAGGCAGAGTCCTTTATTGTTACTGCATACAGCAGGGTAACTGGCATGGAACCTTCTGAGGAGTCTCCTGCCTCTCCTATCACTGCAGAAGTTCTGGCGTTATAGAAGGAACACACTCTGATTCTGTCTGTCCAACTCTAAGAAAACGTATAGCTTGCAGAGACCAAGAGGATTTAATTACAGAGGGATGTTTGCCCTGGTCCCAGAGAAGAAAGCAGAGACACTTCCTAAGATGCTCAGAAATGTTTTGATTGTGGAGAAGTCTGTAGATTTTCTCAACCTGTGTTGTACGCCAGGAACAATCACATATTCTCCCCGTAACAAGTTAAGCACGCTTCCTGGCAAGTGTCCCCTTTTGCCTGAGTTTGTCTCCGGGGAATTCTCAGAGGTCTTAGTAAGTTGCATTTCCTTAAATGTCTGAAGGATGAAGATTGACAGAAGAGCTCTTCTCTTGGGCTGTGTTTTCGTGTGAGATGCTAGGAGGTGGAAAATGAGGCCAGTTGCCTGGGCTCTGTCACTGTCTGGATGAGCTCTTCACCTCTGTTGGATAAAGCATTGATCACATTTGCAGCAGACCCAGTGGCTGACGAAAATGAAGGGCAGAGAAGGAGAAAGACAGAGCTGTAGAGAACCAGTGGACAGATCCAGAATCTTTATGCAACATGTAAGCCTATAACTTGTCTTCTTGTCATAATAATTTGAGTTTTCATATAATTATATGCTGGCTTTGCAAAGTTATATAAAAACTTAAAAATTCTATCATGCAGTATTTTGCATAAACACAGGTATTAATCTCTTCCATGTGTATATGTGTATAGCTGATGTGGATATTTTATGAGTCTGGTCTGTTTGGAGATGTTGTCAACAATCATATTGTTCCCATTTCTTTATAGTTATTTGACTATTTTGGTCTTCTGCCTCTTCCTAGGAAATCTAATGTCTTAGTTTTGTATCTTGTTGTTGTGATAAGAATACTTTGACTTGAAGAAGAAAGGGTATATTTTAACTCTTATATCAAAGTACAGTCTGTGTGGCAGGAAATTCAAGGCAGAGGGAAGTTGAAGCAGTTGGTCATAGCACATCTGTAGTCAAGAACAGAGAAGAATGAGCACACACATGCCTGTGTTGAGCTGCCTCTCTCCATTGTATAGTCTTGGATACCAGGCTTGGAATACGTGTCACCCATGGGGACAGCTCTTCTCACTGTGATTAATGTAATGAAGACACCTCCTCAAGAATGCCCACGGGCCCTTTTCTAGGTGATTTGTGGTTATAGATTCTGTCAAGTTGGCAAAACTAACCATCATCACACTTGGCAACTTATATTTTCTTGAAAATTGGCCATTTCCTTGAGACTACATGGATATCTTCTGTATTTGTTATCTCCTGTCTAAGTCTTGATTTCATCTGTTTTAACATTTTTTTTTATTCTTCTTGTAGCTCCAAGATTTAAATTTTATTTACTTTGGCATACTTTCAAATTTTTAGATTTTTTTTCTTTTTATGCTGTTGGGCATTAAACTCAGGGTTTTGCATGTGTCAGGCAATAGCTTTATCACTGTCTATCTCCTCAGCACCAGATTTATTATTTAATAATTTCTGTTTTCATAATGTATACATTTTTATTCTGCTCTTTATTAATCCCTGTGTTCCTCTCTTGCTGGAGTTTTCTAATATCTTGACATGAATGCTTTGTAAACGCTTGCATTTCTTCTTGTTTATTAAGAAAAACATTCTACTGGTTTTAACACAAAACTCCCTTGTGTTTAGCCTGTGTCTTTGGTTAGCAGAAGCTTTCTTCCAAGCACTGGGGACTGTGTCCTCTCCATTATGTGCTTCCCTCTTTTCCTAGGGACTTGATGTTGTTTGCACCACCTAGGTGTGTGTGTGTGTGTGTGTGTGTGTGTGTGTGTGTGTGTGTGTGTAGAGATGGTAGTGGTGGTGACAAATTTATACATGTGATACACAGTCATGTTTGCTTAAGTCCCAGGACTGGAAGCAGCATATTCATTCTGCTCACGTTGTCTTGACTGGATTCAGTCACATGGCCTTACCACCCTGCAAGGGAGGCTGGATAATGAAGTTTAGTAATGATCTCAGTGAAAAACAGAGATAGGTCCTTGGTGGACACCAAAGAGTTCCTCCAATCCTCAAACACTCTTATCCCCCCATATTCATTTATCAGAACGCAGGACTTTTCTTACAAACTTTGCCTGTAATGTCCTACCCTGTCCTCTGTCACAACTTCCTTACCTTCTTCTGTTGTGTGTGGAGGTTTCTTCCTCAGAATTTTCCTGCCAGCACTCTGGCATTTCAATTGGAGAGTTTTACTTACAGAAGCTTCTTATGATCATAGGTGTAGGCATTTTCTAGCATTTTATCTTATATTGGTTTTTGTTACCGTTTTCATGTTTCCCACTTTCCTTGACTCTTAATAATTGATTGAATTTTTATTCACTGACATAATTTGGACACAGCCAGTTTTTCTTCTGTAATTATAACTCTAGAAATTTCACTACATCTAGATAGCTTAACAAGTTCAAATATAGTGCATAAATCTTCTGTTTATGAAACATAAGGACTGTAGGTATCTGTTAAGTCCATTTGAATCATAATGTCCATTAGTTGAGTTATTTCTGTTTAGTTTCTGTCTGGATGACCTGTCCATTGGTGAGAGTGGGGTGTTAAAATTTCCCACTATTATTGTGTGGAGTTCTATGTGTGATTTGAGCTTTGGGAATGCTTATTTTATAAATGTGGGTGCCCTTACATTTGGGGCATAGATGTTCAGAATTGAGACATCATCTTGGTGGACTTTTCCTTTGGTGAATGTGAAATGCCCTTCATCTCTTTCGATTAATTTTGGTTGAAAGTCTATTTTGTTAGATATCAGGATAGCTACATCAGCTTGCTTCTTAGCTCCATTTGATTGGAAAATCTTTTTCCAACCCTTTACTCTGACGTCATTCTTATCTTTGAAGTATGCTTCTTGTAAGCAGCAGAACGTTGCTTTGAAGTATGCTTCTTGTAAGCAGCAGAACGTTGGATCCTGTTTTTGTATCCAATCCATTAGCCTGTGTCTTATTATTGAGGAATATTAATGACCAATGGTTGTTAATTCCTGTTATTTTGTTATTGATGGTGGTTGTGTGTGTGTGTATGTGTGTGTGTGTCTGTCTGTCTGTCTGTCTCTGTGTGTGCTTCAGTTATGTGTTTCCATTCTTTGGGGTTTGCTGGTGTGAGCTTATCTATTGCCTGTGTTTTTGTGGGTGTAGTTAACTTTCTGGGGTTGGAGTTTTCCTTCTAGTACCTTTTGTAAGGCTAGGTTTGTGGATAGATATTGTTTAAATTTGACTTTGTCATGAAATATCTTAATTTCTCCATCTATGATGATGGACAGTTTTGCTAGTTATAGTAGTGTGGGCTGGCATCCATGGTCTCTTAGAGTCTGCAAGACATCAGTCCAGGCCTTCTGGATTTTAAGGTCTCCATTGAGAAATCAGGTGTGATTCTAATATGTCTGCCTTTACATGTTACTTGGCATTTTAACCTTGACTATTTTAATATTATTTCTTCGTTCTGTATGTTTAGTGTTTTGATTATTATGTGGCAAGGGGATTTTTTTTTCTGATCCAATTGATTTGGTGTTCTGTAACCTTCTTGTACTTTTATAGGCATGTCCTTATTTAGGTTGGGGAAATTTTCTTCTGTGATTTTGTTAAATATATTCTCTGGGTTTTTGAGCTGGGTTTCTTCTCCTTCTTCTATTCCTATTATTCTTACGTTTGGTCTTTTCATAGTTTCCCAAATTTCCTGGATGTTTTGTGTTAGGAATTTTTTAGATTTAGCATTTTCTTTGACTGATGAATCTATTTCCTCTATTGTGTCTTCAGTGCCTGAGATCCTATCTACCCTCTCTTGTACTCTGTTGGTGATGCTTGCGTCTGTAGTTCCTGTTCATTTACCCAGACTTTCCGTTTCCAGGATTCCCTCCGTTTGTGTTTCCTTTACTGCTTCTATTTCCATTTTCAGCTCTTGAACAGTTTTCTTTATCTGTTTGTTTTTCCTTGGTTTTCTTTTAGAGATTTATTGATTTCTTTTAATTTTTGTTTGTCTTCTCTTCAATTTCTTTAAGGGATTTGTTCATATCCTCTCTCAAGACCTCTATCATCTTCAAAAAGTAATTTTTAAAGTCATTTTCTTTAAATGTCTTAGAGCCGTGACGGAAAAGGGAATAACAAGGTATCTTTGTGCTTCAGCTGTTGGGATTGTTCAGGGCTTGCTGTTGTAGGATAGCTAGGCTCTGGTAATGCCATCTTGCCTTTTCTGCTATTGGTTGTGTTCTTACATTGGCATTTAAGCATCTGGATTTGCAGATGATTATGAGTCTAGGTGTTTCCTGCACTTGTCTTTGTTAGATGGGTGTTTTCTTCCTTGGTTTCTCTTCCCTCTCTGGTCTTCTGACCTAAATGGCCAAGGGTGGTAGTGACTAGCATGTCTTCTTGTCTAGTAGGGTGCTCTCTGGCATTTTTAGGGCTAGGAGGTCCCTAGATCCTGCCTGGCCTCTGGTAAAACCAAAGTCTTCTTCCAAAGTTTTAGACCAGGATATGGAGCCCAGGTGAGGGGGTGCAGACTGGAGTCTTTAGATCTGGTCCTGCCTCTGGGGTCCCTAGGACCAGCCTGGCCTCCAGTACAGCTGCCGGGTCTGGAGTCCCTAGATCCGGCCTGTGCTCCAGTAAAACTGAAGTCTTCTTCTGAAGTTGTAGGCCTGAGGTTCCTAGATGCAGCCTGGTCTTCAGTAAAGTGGAAGTCTTCTTCAAGTTGTAGACCAGGATATGGAACTAGGGGTGGGAGGGTGGGAGGGTGGGAGGTGTGCAGTCTGGGGCTGTTGGACATGCTTAAAGGGGTTTATTGGGTGGTGGCCAGTGCCTTTTCTGGGGTCCCTAGGACCACTTGGCCAGGGCTGTGGGCCCTCTTGTGGAGCCCAGCGTAAGGGGTGCAGTCTGGGGTTGCTAGGAGGGCTTTAAGGAGTGTTAGCGGGCAGTGGGTGGTGTCTTATCTGGGCCATGCTAACTATTTTACATTTATTTTATTTGGGAGTGAATTCCATACAGGAATACTGTACTTGCATCATTTCACCCCAACAGCTCCTCCTACATCTCTTCCATCCCCTCTCAAATTTACAGCCTTTTCTTATTTAATTTTTGTTACATGTATACATATATGTATATATAAATGCATCTTGCTGAGTCCATCTAGTGTTGCTCATATGTGTGTTTACAGCTGGGCATTGGATATCTATCAGGAGGCTTGTCCTTGATTTTCTCTTTCTCAGTAGCCATTAAGCTCTTTGCCTGTAGCTATTCATCTAGGGGTAGGCCTTATAAGATTTTCCCCATCCGTGCTGGCATGTCAACTGGTGTGCTCAGTGTTCTGGTCTTGTTTAAGCTACCATGTTGTTGAGATTTCATGTATACAGCTTCCTGTCACATGTAGAAGATACTATCCCACAGCAGATATCCTGGTCCTTTGGCTGTTACAATCTTTCCACCTCTTCTTCAATGTCCCCTGAGACCTATTTTATTAATTCTTTGAGAATTCTATACATACTTCTGATGTATTTGGATCATAGTCACAAATACCCACCCCTCCCTTCAATACTGT